ACCTATTAGCTTATTTAAAGCTCAACACAAATGGTAAACTGAGGCACAGAGCAATTAAGTTGCTTACCCAAGGTCACCTGCCTGGCAAGCGGGCATGAACACCCCGTTTCCTTGGAAGAAGGAGCGCTGAGGCAATGAGAAACATGGGTTCTGGCCCCCAGGGGTGTTCTGGCCCCAATCCCCCTGTCTGAGGAACAAGGAACAGCCAGCCCCATTTCCTGCCACCCAGCACCCTACGCTTCCTGTTGTTGCCCACACAGAATTCTTACTCACTGGGGAACCCCCCCCACTCCGCCAGCACATAGTCTCTCAGAGGGAAGTGGAGGCCTCCCCACCCCCTTCCCATGTGCACCCAGCTACCGTTAGCATCGCTGCCGCCCCACCCACCAGGAGAGACAGGCCCTCCCTTTCGTGGTTTCCGGCCACCAGGCAGTTTTCTGTCTAGGCCCCTCTGTGGCTGACCTGCGTGATGGCAGGGAAGGCAAGCTGGCCTGTGATGGCTAAGGACTCAGCTTGGTTAGTCTTGATAATGGAGGTGGGAAGATGGGAGAGGTGGGAAGATGGGAGAGGTGGGCTCTGGGCACCTTTACCTAGAAGGGCTCCAAGAGGGAGGGGGCCAGAACACCAGCTGCTCTCACAGTGGGGAGTGTTCACTGAGCATTGCTCTGTGTGAGGCATGGTGCACACAATCTATTCAATCCTGTCAACAATCCTAGGAGGCCGGCACATACCGTTATTATTCTCTTTTTATACCTGGGAAAAACCAAAGCTCAGAGCTTGCTTAAGGTCACACAGGCAGTAAGTGGCAAGGACAAAACCCAACCACAAACTTCATGACCCCAAAGCCCAGGAAGCTCCCCTGCCTTACCGAGGGTAATCCCTGTGACTCGCAGAGGCAGGGAGACCTGAGCCACCTTCCAGAGCTCCATGTTCCTAAGAAAAATGCAGAGGTGGCACCTGCTCCTGCCCATCTCACCCAGCTCTTTGCCAACTGGCCCCAGATGTCACTGTGAATCATGCCTACCACATCCCTAGGCTACCAGGGTCAGAATGTGCTAGCCCTGCCTGCGAGGAATGTCACCCCACAGCCTCTGCCCAACCCAATATCTGCCCACATGGCCACAACCGCATTGGGTTCCTTCCCTGGCAATGGCAAGCACAGGGCCTGAGCGACCCCACAACTACATACCCTCTAACCTCATCTGCCCCACCCTAGAGGAGGGGGCTGGACAAGGAGGCAGGCGTCACTCACAGGCCAATGAATGGGGACATCCACCCACACTCTGCATCACCAGCCCCATCAGGGAAGGGGCCCAGCTAAAAGCAGGAACCCCAGGGTCCACACCCTGTTTGGGTCTGTGCTGACCTCCCCACACAGTCTGGCCAAGTGCCCACACCCCTGGGAACATGCTCAGGGCAACCCAGGGTACCAGCCCCATCAAGCAAACTCCTCTCCAAATGGATCAGCCACCTCCTGGCCGCCAACTCTTGGCATCTTGGCATCAAGCACAACATCCAGCACCTTCCCTGAATCCCTTCCTCCAAGGTTACAGACTCCTCCCTGCCCAGGCACATCAGGGGTGTCCTAGGCCTGTCTGCAAGCATGGACCTTCTGGGCAGGCCTGGAATTGTGCCTGGCCATCCCAAACCCTGACTCTTGCAAGGGAATGCTGGGAGGGGCTGGAAGACGCCCAGCCTCTGCTACAGCATAGGAGAGGTGCGAGTGGGGAGCCTGGCTGGCTGCTTTTCCCCCCATTGCAGCAGGCCCGTGTCGCTGGGCAGCCCTCACTCCTCCACTGTTGCTAAGGCAGCAACCAGAAACCCTGACTCAACCCGCTCCTTCTCCCCACCCCTATTTAAGCAGGGGCACCCCTCTCACAGCCTCCTCAGAAAAGTAGCCCCCCACCACCCACTCTTGCATGGGAGAAAGGGAGAGCAAGTTCCATCTCCTGCCTGGATGCAGCCTTGGTGGGGGCACCCCTCACCCACAAGAGGGGTCCCACAGCCAGAAGACAGGAGTGGTTTGGGGTTTTAAGATCCTACTCCTCACCAGGGACCACCAGGGACCTACTGAAAGGAAGAGTTTCCCTGGGGCCATGTGACTAAATCCCAAGGGGAGGGCTTTGCTTCTCCCATCAAGACTGGGGGACCCCTGGGAGGGGTGGTGGGGTGGGCCCCTCACTCTCAGCAGTCTGAGGTTCTTATTGTGGACATTCACTAAGGACAGGACTCAGCTCTGGCCACAGAGGCGGGGTGCAGATGGAGGTGCACCCTGCAGTACCTGTTGTCAGTCCTGCGGGTTTATCCAAATCTTTAGCCTCCCGCAGCCTTAAGCAGAGACCAATGCACTCACCCCAGGGCAGGGCTCTTGCGCCTGCCAGCAAGGAGTGAGAGGAGGCAGATTCTTAGGCAAGTGACCCTGAGTTGTGTTCTGCCCACAGAGGACAAAGAACGGGCTCATCCTTCCCAGGAAGAAGATGGAGTGTAAACTCATGGGGGTTCCTGGGGGCTGGGGAGCTGAGCCCCAGTGGGTACTGCTGACCTAGATTTCTACCCAACCACTGCTTTCTCCGGCAGGACACCCCATAAAACCTATCTCTGGGCCTCCAGCCTCCACACCCTGGTACTCAAGGATGCCCAGTGGCATTTAGTGTCCGACTCAGCCAGTCAGAGGTAAGGCCAAAAATGCAAGCAAGGCGATCAAGTCCTACACAGGCATCAGAACCTCAGCATTTGACTTTTGGATTTTCCACTTGCCTGAATTATTCACTGCTCCTCCCCATTAGTGTGTGTATAACAGAGAATGGACTGGAGCCTGGACCTCACACTGAGGGCCCATCTCACCCCCATTTAAAGACACACACTTGGGGGGAAAGACAGACCTATGTGTCTGGCAGGGGTCCAGGGATCCAACACCAGCTCAGGCTCCCCAGATGGTCCACAGAGACTGTCTTTCCTCATTCTCCCCCCTCCCCCATCTGCTCAGTTCAGCTTAGCTCTGCCAGGCCACGGGTTCCGGGAAGGGGAGCAGGTGGAGATGGTGTAATCAGGGCCTAGCGTGGTGTGACGTGTCCCTGAGAGTCCTACCCTTGCCCCTAACCAAGCAAGGTACCTTCACAAGGATAGACCAGACCCCACCCCACCCCATAGCTCCTCCATACTCCTAGCATCTCTCCGGGGAGGGGGCAGCAGCCAAGATTTCCAGGAACTGTTAGGAGGGGCCGTGCACAAGATCTGGCAAGTATGGCCTAACGACTGGCCAGGGGAGGAGCAATGATGTCAAGGAGGTGAAGGGGGCAAACAATTGAGCAGTGCCACCAGCCAGCATTGCTGTCCTGCCTGCACCTCCTCCAGGCTCCCACCCTCAGACCCCGCAGCCAGCCTGTTACGGTGGACAAGTACCTCTGGGAAAATGCACAGCCCCATTTGTCTATCATCCACTGTCCCACAGGGGAGCTGACAGCAGACAGGCCACCAGGCAAGTAGTTAGAAAAGGGAGCCTGGAATAGGACTGAAGTAAGGAGAGGGAAGTGAGAATGAGTGTTCCCTCCCACTCCCTACTTCTGCCTCCCCCGGGTCTTAGGAAGCCCCCACCCACCAAACACATACAATTGCCTCTAGGCTCACCCTGAGCTGATGGCTGGCTCCCCAGTGGCCTAGTCCCCAAGCCCCTCAATTCCCCAGAGAAGATGGTGGCCGGGAGAGTTCCAGACTTTTGCTCTACCCTCAGCCAGAGGGACCAACCAGCCTAACCCAGCCCTTCTTGACCTTAATCCCTTCAGTGGGTAGGTGGGGAGCCCCAAGATAAGGATCCCCAGGCATCCTCTCCTGGACACATAGTGGGTAGGAAACAGACACTCCCTCTGAATGATCTGACAGCCCAGCTCCAAAGAGCCCAGGAACCAACAAATCATGAGCAAACACCTCAGCTGGATCTACAGCTACCAGGAGGGTGAAGTGTAACCCCTTTCTTCTGTGATCTGACACACAAGCAGATGCTTCAGACCCGTGCCCCGTAGCTGGGCCTGCATCCAATGGGGAAAGGGGCGCTCTGGTGCCCTAGCGAGCTCTGCTCCCACCTTCCTCACAGGACATTTTGTTTAGACCTTTAAATCCGGGAGCCTTGGGGGAAGGGAATGTCTTGGGGAAGGAGCCTAAGCCATTGCAGAAGAAAGTTTTGGGGGGAGAGTGCTAAGTCACTCTGGAAAGAAGCCACTGTAACTCCCACCCCATGGAAGAGCAGCCGCTGGGTCAGGGATCTCCAAGCAGTACCTGAGTCCCCGGGGGCGGGAACGCACGCCGGGACCCTGCGGACCCCGCCCGCGCCCTGCACGCGTTGGGTCGGACTCACCAGGACCCGGTTAAACCTTTCCTCCAGCTCTCCGGCCTCGGGCATCGGCTGCTTGGCCGCCGCGGGCTGCTTGGGGGACGGGGCGGCGGGGCCCGCGGGCTGCTCCGCGCTGCCTGCAGCGTTGCCCATGGTGGCCCCCACCCAGTCGGCCAGGCGCCTCCAGCCTCGGAAATCTAGCTTTCCGGGGGTCAGGGGACGAGGCTCCCGGCCTGAGGGGCGAGGAGGGCAGCGGCTCGCGGCAGCGGAGGGGCTCGGCGACACCGGCGCTCGGCTCAGCGGCGTGCAGGGGCCGGGACGCGGGGTCCCATCGGAGCGGCCCCGTCCGAGGAGCCGGGCGGCGAGCTGCGGCGTCGGGGGAGGAAGTCAGGCTGCAGGCCGCCGGGGCCAGAGGGCTGGGCCGGGGGCAGGAAGCTGCGGCGCAGTCTCCCCCCTCGGCGATTTTCTAACTTCTGCTGTCGCTCCCGGTGCGCGCAAACCGCATTTCGCCGCCGCCGCCGCTACGCACCCAGCCCCAGGGGGGCGGGCTGGAGGGAGGGGGCGGGCGCCGGGAGCCGGCCGGGGGTCGGCCGCGGCCATGGAGCGGCGGGGAAGGGGCTGCCGACCCGGGTCACCTCCGCCGAGGGGCGCCCGGCGCCGCTACACCTGCAGGAGCGGCAGGCGACCGAGGCGAGGCAGAGGCGGCTGCGTGCGCGGCGGCGCCTCCGGGTCCTAGAACCGTAAGCTCCCACGCGCTCGGAGCTGGGGCACTGGCGGGGTCCGGGCGAAGGGGGTCGCGGCCTGGAGGCCCGACGGGGAGAACCTCGGAGTCGAGGACTGTCAGGAACCGCGAGCGCGGCTTGGAGACCCACGATGGAGTGGCGTTGGGGCGCAAGGCTCCGCCCTCTCTCGGGTTCCCGACTGAGAAGGTGGGAACCCCCTTCCAGGGCCCCTAGCCCTTGTTCCTCTCCTCCTCCATTTAGCCCAGAGACCAGCCGAGTGCCAGAGGGAACCGCCTGCAAATAAGAGCCCCAAAGCAGGGCAGGGGGTGCAGATTCACGCCAGCGGGACCCCCGCCAGCTATCCCGCCCTGGACCAACCCTGCGCCTGTGCCGGCATCTCCAGCGGCTCTAGAATGGAGGCGCTCAAGGAAAAATGCAGGCTGCAAGAATCTGGGTACCATCGAAGCAGTCTTCAGGAGAAACGCGGGGATTGGGGAGCAGAGGATTAAAGCCAGCGTTCAGGCTGAGAAAGGAGCAGGTGCCGCAGAGGCGGATAAAATCCTCATGCAGTCACCTCCAGGGACGGAGGGTGGCCTCCCGCCTTGGAGAATAACAATCTCAGAAGTCTGGCAATTACAGAAATGCTTCCAGAGGTTTTTCATTCATCCTGACAATGACCAGGGAAGGTAGGTATTGATAATCTCATTTTAGAGATGGGGAGACTGAGGCTTGGAGTGGTTAAGTGACTTGCCCAAGGGCAAGCAGCTAAGAAAGGGCAAAAACAGGCCCCCTCTCTGGCCACCACCCACATCTACACGGCCTTGGGGCTGCTACCCTGGCTCCCCTCGCCTTGCCCTCTCATCCAGGTTGGGCCAGATGGGTGAGTTTTGGGGGATGTAGGACTCCAGGTCTGGGGCACAAAATCCAGCCTGAATTTGAGGCCCTCCTCTTTCACTTGCTCCTCTGTTTCCCCATTTAATTTGTGGAGATCCCCAGTTACCCCTCCCTGTCTTACCAAAGCACTGAGGAGGGAGGGCCTGTAAAATGAGCCCTGGATTTTCTCTAGATGAGGCACAGGACCATAAGTGTCTCCTCCCCTGACAGCTTACTCTTTCTTCTGCCCTTCTTCTCAGATTCAGAACCACTGACAGGAGATGATGCAGGAGCTGGGAAGTGTATCTAATTTTAAGGAAAGACCCTCGATGAGCCACCCCTTTCCCCAGCCTGACCTGTGTTAAGGCTTTCTTCTGCCAAGGTCACCAGCACGTCTGGTGGCTGAGAGATGTGGTCAGTTATTTCATGTCCTAGCCAGGGACCCATAAGGTAAGACAAAGTAGGTTTCCTTCAGCATGCTAAGACAGTGATCCACTACCCTCATCTCCAGCCCAGGACACACCAGTCTTGCTCTTGGGTTCTGGCCCTTGAGATTAGCTGGGACTTTTTTTTTTCCTCTTTGTATTTCTTTTTAAAGAATTAGTTTCTGATGCCTTCAATGGCTGTTTCCATTTAACAACAAACTTGAACACCAGCCGGGTGCCCACCAGCAAGCACTGTGCTCAGTCCTGGAGATTCTGTGGTAGATGAGAAGAGTCCTTGTCCGTGGGCTGCTCACAGCCCAGCAAGGGACAGATTCTACGCACATCTGGGAGAGTGGCTACTAACAGTCCGCCTCTGGTGCCAGTTGTTCATACTGCCTCTTGCCCAGGACTACTTCAAGCAGGTAGAAGGGTGGGGATTGTCCTTGCAGCTGAAAATCCAAGCTGGGTGAAGAGCCTGTAATGCAGTAGCCAGCCCTGCAGGTGTGTAGGCCATAGTCAACCACCATCCACCCAGAAATAAAGCTGGGCTAAGTAGGACCTCGTGTGGAAAATGATCAGTTTGCAAGCCTACATTGTCTATCATGCTGGTCAGAACTGTGAGGTTAAGGAAAAAAAGAGAAAATTAATCAATTATTGTCTAATGTGGTTGGCTTGGCAGAATGTATCTTTGCAATTATGGTCCACAGAGGAGGAAATTCTAGAAGGGATGGTTGGTGATATTTGGAACCAATGCATTAGTGGGTTTGTGCTTCTACCTACTGGGCACAGGAGGTATGACAGCTGAGACAGTCAAGGCCTCCACCGGTGATAGACTTGGAGTCACAGTATGGGTGGTATTTATGGACTGTTGTATCCTTGTCACCTCGGATGGAGGGATTGTACAGTCACTGGGGACACTCAGAGGGCAGGTGACTGAGCAGGTTTCCCAAGGAATCTCTTCCTCCCCTTCCCTGCTCACCAGGTGCCTTTTTAAAAAAAGGAAAAAAGGTAATACATGTGCAGTTTCTAAGAAAAACAGTTCTAATGTATCTTTCCAGAGATATTTTGGGAATGTACAAGCAGTGTATGTATGTGTGTGTGTGTGTGTGTGTGTGTGTGTGTGTGTGTGTGTGACACAAATGATAGCCCACACTCCACAGTTTGGTACCTTGCAATTTTCATTTAATAATATATATATATATATATATATATATCTGCCTCTACAAAATCTATACAGTCATCCATCACATAGGTGTGTCACAATCTACTTCACTATTCCTCTCCTAATGGATATTTAGTCGTGTCAACCTTCTGTTACTATAAACAATGGTGCCTCCAAAAAATGTCTTGGTACACATATAATTGTTTGCACTTATGTGTGTGTATCTGTAAGACAAATTTATCATCATGACATTGCTGGGCCAGAGGTTTTTGTGCTTTTAAATTTTGGATAGATTTTTACTTAAATTTGTATAGATTTGGAATTGCCCTCCAAAAAGTTTGCCCCAATTGGCAATTCCCAACAGTGGACGAGATTGACCATTTCCCTACATCCTCACTAACAGAGGGTCTTATTGGGCCTTTCGATATTTGGTGAGGCGTCTGTGAAAGTCTTTGTCACAGGCAGGTGATGATTTGCTTGTATCTCCAGGGCAAAAACTGTGTCTTTTCTCTGTATCCCAGCACAGGACTTAAATATTGAATGAAAGAACACAAAACTGCATTTTGGCAGGCCTGCAGGGAGGGAACAGAGGGCTAGTGGTGAGGAGAAAGCCCACCCTTAAGGGCCACGCTTGTTTCTATGCCTCTACCCCAAAAGCCCCCCTCTTGTAGCAGCTTCCCAGATTTCAATATCTGGTTGAGGATCCAGCAGTGCCCGGGCAGCTCTCACTCCGATCTCCTGCATCCCAGGGATGGGCCTCGTCATCACTAAACTGCCTAAAGACTAAAGATAAACCAGTGTTTGGCTATAGAGGACTGGTGAAACCAGCAATCCCATAGAACTTTCTGTGATGATAGAAATGTTCTGTATCTATGCTGCCCAATATGGGATCCGTTAGCTACATGTAGCTACTAAGCACTTGAAATGTGGCTAGCGCAACTGAGGAAATGAATATCAAATTTTACTTAATTGTAATTAAGCTCCGTGTAAATAGCCATGTGTGCTACTATATCAGACAGTGTAGGTTTAACTAAACTATAGTGTCTCCCCACAATGGAAAACTATGCAACTATAATAATAATAATAATAATAAGGATCCAGATACAGATACGGCAAGGTCTCCAGGATATATTTTCAAGTAAAAATATGGTGCAGAACAGTACATATAGTATGTTATCTTTTGTGTAAGAAAGGAAGTAGAAAATAGAATAAATGTTTGTATTTGCTTGAATTTGCATAGGGAAAGTAATAAAAGTGGTAAGCTGTAAGGTGGGGAAACAGGGTGGACAAGAGACAGTTGGGAGGCATCGAAAAGACTAAGAACAACAAATGCTGGCAAGGATGCAGAGAAAGGGGAACCCTCCTACACTGCTGGTGGGAATGTAAACTAGTTCAACCATGTGGAAAGCAATATGGAGGTTCCTCAAAAAAGTCAAAATAGAAATACCATTTGACCCAGGAATTCCACTCCTAGGAATTTACCCAAAGGAAACAAGTTCTCAGATTCAAAAAGACATATGCACCCCTATGTTTATTGCACCACTATTTATACTAGCCAAGATATGGAATCAACCTAAGTGTCCATCAGTAGATGAATGGTTAACAAAGAGGTGGTACCTATTCACAATGGAATACTATTCAGCCATAAGAAAGAAACAAATCCTACCATTTGTATCAACATGGATGGAGCTAGAGGGTATTTTGCTCAGTGAAATAAGTCAGGCAGAGAAAGACAAATACCAGATGATGTCCCTCATTTGTGGAGTATAACAATGAAGCAAAACTGAAGGAACAAAAAACAGCAGCAGACTCACCAACTCCAAGAAGGGACTAGCTGTTACCAAAGGGGGACAGTGAGGGAGGGTGGGTGGGGAGGGAGGGAGAAGGGGATTGAGGGGTATTATGATTACTACACATGGTGTGGGGGGATCATGGGCAAGACAGTGTAGCACAGAGAAGACAAGTAGTGACTCTGTGGCATCTTACTACACTGATGGACAGATGGACAGTGACTGCAAGGGGCATGGGGGGACTTGATAATATGGGTGAGTGTAGTAACCATGTTTTTCATATGAAACCTTCATAAGAATGCATATCAATGATACCTTATTAAAAATAAATAATAAATAAGAGAGAGTTGAGAGCAAGACAATGCATTTCTCTATATACCATTTTGATTATGAACCATATGCATTTATTACCCAGTCAAAACAAAGTAAAATAAAAGCAAGTTGCTTGCTGTCTAACCAAGGAGGGCTGTTCTATGCCTCTTGTTGGCAACTTGTGGTAAATGAGAGAAGTAAGCCACTACACTGTCCCTTGTATGGGACCCACCACAGCCCAGGAGAGTGGGGTGGGCAATGCCTCATGAGCCACACCCCAAAGTAACACAGGTGCCCAAGCCTAGCTCTGCACCAGACTCTAGGGGGGAGTTGCGGTCAGGGATCTGTGGCTTTTATGGTCCACCAGGTAACTCTCTGGCAGACACTGAACTATCCTTGTCCATACCCCCTAGTGAAGAGAGGACAAGCCCAGTATCAGGCACATGTCCCTTCCCTGTAGACAGCAGTGGCCACTGACATTTTCCAGGCACCAACTGCAGGGAAGGTTCAGAGGCAGGTATTTCCTAAGTGTCATTTGAGGCTGGACAGCAGTTTGGCAAGGCAGGCCCATTGCTGTGCTCTCTGAGCTCAGTGTCCTCTTGAGTGAGTGACCTACCCAAGGTCACACAGCTAGCAAATGTCAGATCTGGGATCCGAACCCAGTCATAAACCCCCCGAACCCAGTCATAAACCCCCTGAGCCTCAGTTTCCTTAATCTGCAAAGATAGTAATAGGTTTCATGGCGTTCTTTTGAATATTAAATAAAATTTCAAGTAAAGGGCTAATAGACACTTTAATTTGTAGCAATAGGGCAGATAAATGTCCAAAGAAACCCTTCTGGTAGAGAACTAGAAGCACTAAATAAAAGATAAAATGTGACTCTGTGTGTGTGTGTGTGTGTGTGTGTGTGTGTGACTTTCAATGCAAGACTGAGCTGGCAAGAAAGGAAATATCCTCAAAGGTACAAATACAAAAAGAAGAAAGACAAAACCTGGGGCTTCATAAGGTAAGAGGTTGGGCAGAGATGGTCTGCCCCTTCCAAAAATCAAGGGTGCCCAAAAGGTGACATTCTTGGGTAGATTTGGAAAAAAAAGAAAAATCCACCCTGCAGAAAGAGATGGTAGGATACTTGCCTGCCTCCGTTTCTTAAGAAGATATAACCATCCTACAGTTGTCTGCACCTAGTAACATGGCTTCAAAATCATAAAGGAGAAATAGTGGGAAACTAGAACAATCCACCAATGTAAAGGACAATTTAAATCGCCTCCCTCTGGAGATGGTAGATTAAGCAGACAAAAAATTTCATAAGGGTGCACAAGATTTGAACAACACAATGGCAAGCTTAATCTAGTTGAATATTTTGAATACTCCAGTCAACAATTGGCAAATACACTTTTGCTTTCAGGTGCACATTTACAAAGATGAACACATATCAGACCATAAGGCAAGTCTTGACCAATTCAGAAAAATCATACAGACATCATTATCTGACAGCAATATAATTAAATTAAAAGTGAGCAATCAAAAGACAATTCCATGCATTTGAAAATGTCAAAGTGTGCTTCTAAACATTTCATGGATTGAAGAACCCCTAACAGAAATTACTAAAATATCTAGAATAGACCATCAAAGTATTATGTGTAAAGTCCTTAGCACATGGTGCCCTAAAAATGGAAGTGAGGATAATGATGGTGAAGACAAGCAAGAGGCTGTGGACAGGTGATTCCTGTGAGACACGCTTTGCCGTGGTCAGTTCCACAATCAAAGGCAGAGGGGTAAAGACTTAAGGATTATGGGTAGGGGTAACCACTAAGTTGGGAAGGAGGGCACTCAACTAACCTGTGAGCCAGGGATTATTCTGGTCCCATTTTCCTACTGAGGTCCCCGGGCTGCGAATGGAGAAGGTCCTCAAGTCACCTAGTTCAAACATCACAGCCAGAACTCCAATCCAGGTTGGCCATCTCACTTTTCATGCTGCCCCTGAAGGTGCAGCTGAGGGAGGTGGGGACAAACTTTTTGGTTAACACCAAATCTTAATCTCAAATTAAATGTTTTAATCTCTGAAACAGTCCGCCAAGGAGGCATTCCATCCCTTCTCAAACCCTGGAGTGTCTGCTCAGCTGAGAGGTCACAAACCACAGCATTACCTTCATTGGTCTGTGTGTCCATCTGTCTCAACCAGCTCTGCTAGCCCAACCATAAGTGAAACACGAGGTCTTTCCTTTCAGGACCCAGAAGCCAACATGGACTAGGGTAGAGGAGACCCCATCCAAGCAGCAGCCAAACGGATGGGGCACACAGGTGAGAGGAGAGGGTGGGCAGGACCGCAAGGCCCATCCCTTGGGCTAGGGGTCACAGAGCCTTGGACGTGGTGTGATGTAGTAAGCAACTAACACTGACTGAAGGAACACTTAAGGGAGACCTGCTGAACACCAGGCACTGTGCCTGTGAACAGGTGGTGTTTGGTCTGTTCGTCATGGTAACACTCTGTGGTTACTGTTATTAGTACCACTTTTTACAGACCAGAGCTCAGAGACGTTAAGTGACTTGTCCAGGGTCAAGAAAAATGACAGAGCAGAGACAAGACCCCAGGTCTGGGGGCCCAGCTCTCCCTACCATTTTCTCTGGAGCAGGGAAGTTTTCAAATGTCTCCCTCCAGGCCAGCCGGCCAACCCACAGGCCAATGTGATGAAATCCAAGGTCAGCCCTTGGGCAAGCAGTTGAACCGATTTACTTTTTATTCAATGATGATTTATGGTGGGTCAGCAGTATGCTTGGCATCAGAATTATTAACATAGAATTCTCTAATCGTATTAGAGAATTAGACCCAAGTCCATCCAGAAAGAGCTCACAGCCTAGAGTGGGAGCATGAGGGGAGGTGCTGCATGTTACAGGGGCCACAGAAGAAACTAACCCGGACCCACTCCTGACACTCTTGCGTCCAGGGCCAGAAGTCAGCTGGAACCCAGTTACAATTCATCTAAACATTTAAAATTATAAATTGAGCTAACACAGATAAATAAATTCTGTCCTCTTACCCTGGTTCATATACCTTCAAGAGGACCCTGAACGCCAGGTTCAAAAAACAATTCTAGAACTCTGCACTGGAATATGACAGGTCAGAGAGTGCTACCTTCCCTTCCTGCCCTCAGCTTTGTCCTGCATTAAGAGGAGCCACAATCACACACACATACATACACATACCTGGGACATAGCCTGTGCACGCTCCTCTGAGCAGGGAACCCCAAGATCTCAGGTACCTGAGGCATGGGCAAGTCCTGTGCTATCCAATATGGTAGCCACTAACCACATGGGGCTGTTTAAATTTGGATTTACACTATTTATAATTTAATCAATTAAAAATTCAGTTCCTCAGTCTCACTGAGCCACATTTCAAGTATTCAATAACCACATATGACTAGTGACTACAATACTGGACAGAACATTTCCATTATCAGAAAAAGTGCTATTGGACAGCTGGTCTAGAAGATGAGGCAGAGCTGCCTGAGAATGTCAGAAAATCTTCACAGAGAGGATGACATTTGAGCATTTAACCAAATTAGTGAGTGAGTGGGAAAAGGAAAGTGAATGGCTGTTTAGAGAAAACAGCACATGCAAAGGTCCAGTGGCAATGACTTGTTGAGAGAAACACACAGATTTGTTATGACTGGAATGAGGGACATGGGACTAGAGGGAGGAGAGTGGGAGTCTGGTAGGATCCACAGGTTCAATATCCAAGGTCCTGGACACACGATAAGGATGTGAGACTTGAACTTGGTGGTTGATGGGGTTGGGTTGGGCAGGAGAAACATGATCAGCTGGGTACATCAGAGAGAGAAGGATGAACTGAAGACCAGTTAGAGATTTCAAAATGAAAGAAAAACAGCAGACCAGGAAAGGGAACCAGAGGGGAGGGAAGGGAGAGATCTTCCAGAGTCAGGATACGCTTTGATTTGTGAGAGTGAAAAATAGCTCATGTTTGGAGTGCAGGTGGACTCCAAGGAACAAGGACAAAAGAGGAGTTATAGATTGGGAGAGGCGTTAACAGCTCATTTGGGATTCCTAGAATCTAAGGGGCCAGTCCAGACAGGGAGACAGAGGCTCAGGGCTGCACTCCTAAGTTGGTGAAGAAGGGGAGGCAAGAAGGCTGAGTGTCCCCAGGTTGGTGAATGAGTGCAGAGACCCATCTGGGGAAAGGAATTGGGAGTGTGTCTCCAGTGGAGGTGTGGGGAGGCCACATGAAAGACCAGGACCTGCAGATTTCCCCAAAAAAAGCACCTTCCTCCGGACTAACTCGCCAAGCAGCCAGCAGGCACCGGCTAGCATTGTGTCTGTCCTTTGTTGATGAGGGAAGATGGGAGGAGACTGGGGAAGCTGGCCTGGGAGGTTCCAGGGAAAAGGGTGAGTCCCCTCCCTTGGGAGGAGGTCAAGAGGTTAAGGACCATGAAGGTGATGAGTTGGGCAGTTAGGGTGTCCCTAGTGGCCTTCAGAAAGAATAATGCTTTCAACAGAAGCTGCTGAATCTCAAGGGCAGGTTTTGTGGCAGTAGGAGAGAAGGGGAGAAACAAGCTGGCCATCAGCAGAAAGAAAACACAGTCATAATCAGTGGTGCCATTCTTAACCTGTGTTGACAATCTGGTAGAAGTTTTTACACTTCTAGCTTAGAAGTAATCCTTAGAGGTTCAAGAGTTCCCCTAAGGTGGAGAATCCCACTCCAAGAACACAATATCGATTATTTAGTATTCCCACCAGGGATGTGTACACTTAAGAAAACACCAAACTCAACATGAGGAACATTAAATTAAAAGAAAAACGGGTATGGGTTGTACTCTACTCTGAAAAATGTCATGAGGGATGAAAAAAGATAAGAAATTGCTCCAGATTAAAGAAACCTAAAAGTAACATGGCAGTTAAATGCAATGTGTGGTCCTGGCCTAGAGCCTACACATGAGAGAAAAAAACTCTAAAGGACCTTAATGAATCAGTTGATAAAACTGGAATATGGGCAGTAGATTAAAGTATTGTATCAATGTTAAATTTCCCCAAGTTGCAATGTCTACTGTGCTTATGCAATAAAAGTCCTTGTTCTTTGAAAATACCCACTAACGTACTCCTGGTAAATGGGCACGATGGTTGCCAATTACTCTCAGTTCAGGAAACTACACATATATATATATGTATGTATATACATAGGATTCCTACAACCTGAGGAATCTAGAGAGAGACACAGGCACAGGCACAGACACAGAGAGACAGCCAGAGGGGAAGAAGGAGCAAATGGGACAAAATTTTAACAACTGATGAATCTGCGTAAGGGGTATATGGGGGATCTTTCCATCATTCTTGCAACTCTTCTGTAAGCTTGAAATTTTTGCAAATAAAAACGTTTCTAAAAACTACCAAACTCGGAGCCTCCTGAGCTCAGGGACCTTTATCCTGCCCTTTTTCCCAGAGCTGGCCCGGGGCTAGCCGGGGGCAGACCCTGGGTGGGTGGGTCGGCCAATATTCTGGGTGTACAAGGCAGGATTAGGGGTACAGGTGGCGCCTGGAAGGGCCGAGGCCCGCCACCTGGGGACATTCCTCGGCCTCCGACATTTTCCGATCCGACAGCTGGGGCAGTCGCAGACCCAGGCCGGGAGTGACTCACCCGCGGGCTCCCAGGGCAGATGGGGAGCCCCGCCCGGGAAGCCCCACCCCGCCCCGCAGGGAGGGCCGCGGCCAGCAGGCGCCGCTGTTGAGCCACCTCTGGCTGAACCTGCCCGGGCTCCGCCGGGACCTGGAGGCGGTGCGCCCTTGGTGTGTCTTCCAGAGCCCAGCCCACCGGGGTCCGTAGGCAGCCTGGCTTATCCTGACCTCGGTCTAGTTTCTCAATCCCAGGTCCAGCTTCCCTGCACCCCTCCCCTAACATGTGTGCCCACAGGCACCCCCTTGGGTGGAGGAGGGGAGAGGACAAGCAGGAAAACGCTTCAGCCCTGGGCCCTGGAGACTGAGTAGCAAATCAATCCTCCCCTTTTCTCTGCTCCGTCTCCCTCTCGTCCTCCCCCCTCCGCCATTCACTCCGCCTCCCCTTCCTTTCCCTCCTCTTCCTGTCTCTCCTCCTCCTCCTTGTCCTAGTCCTGGAGCAGCCCAAGGCTTTCAAAACAAACACACACCTCCTCAGCCCATCCCTGCCTGGGCCCTTCTCTAGGGGTTGGTGCTTCTGCTGGGTGCAGGGATCAGGATGGAGGTGGGGGTGGGGGAAGTAGGGCGGGGGGCGGGGGCAGGAGGGTGCAGAGTTAGGTGGGGTGATGCCGTGATGTGATTTCTTCCTGTGTAAAAGGAGCTGTTCTCACAGCCCGGCTGCAGTTGCTGGGGTCCGGGGTGGGATTCCCTGCCTAGATGCGGGGGGTGGGGGGGGCCTTTACTCCAGCTCTCCCCGGCCCTCGCAGACGCAAGATGAAAAGCGCCTAGAGAGGCCATTCTGTCCACCCCTGTGGCTCCAGGACGGACCATAACTGAGAAGACCTGCCAGTCCTGCGTGTTCACTCATTCCTTCAAAAACCTTTCGCTGAGCGCGAGCTCTGTGCAAAGTACCAGGAGCTTTACGTAATGCCAGCACCTTAAATCCCCACTAGGACCTTTGGAGATGGACACTATTACTCTACGGCGACTTGTCCAAAGATCCATTTCAATCCAGTGCTCCTCTGTGACTCCTCCTGACTCACCCAAGTGGGACTGATCTCAGTCAGCTTTGGGGCCACACCACACTTCCCGTAATGCTCCTAAGGTATGCCTACAAACTTCGGCTGTTTTTCTAGCTTTACTTCTTAAGCTATGTGGTTCTTATCATAGGTACTCATTTTATTATTCTGTTCGCTTCATACTTTTCTGACTGTCTGACATATGTCATAGTTAAAAACAGTCCTCAGTTTTAAAAAACAAAAAGAAGAATGACAGAGGGGGAGAATTTTGTCTTATTTATCTTTGCCTTTTTCCAGTTCCAACCTAGTGCCTGGTACTCAACAAATGTTTGGCGAATGAAAGATCACTTGGCCAGTAAAATCGCGAGAGGTAGGGTTGAATGTCATGTTTTCTCACACCACACCCCGAGTGCAGAGCACAAGTGGGGAGTGGCTGGGAGGGGCAGCAATAATGGAGGCCCCCAGTCTCACTCAGTGGCCTCTGTATTGGAACTGAATTCCAGAATGACTGAAGTGCAGGGCATAGAGAAGGAACAAAACTGCTTCAATCTGAACTCTGCAAGCTGAGGAGCTGGTGGCCTAAATTTCTACAAATCATACTGCCAAAATCTTTTAATAATTTCCTCTTTCTCCAAAACCTTGTGTGGTCTATCTATAAGCCAGCTTGATGCATTCATTCTTTTATATTAGTGCACTGTCCTCTCCACTGGACAGAAAAGGGGGCTTTCAAGGTTTGGTCAAAACAGGATTGTGAGGCATAGTTGGCTGCTACAAGAGAATCAACAAACAGCCTTCAGCACATTAATTCTCTGCCTGCGAAGAGATGCCACTAATTGCAGACCCATTTTATCTGTTTGTTAGGCCCCATGTGGAATGCAGCCTCTGAGAAAAGCACTTCTACCCAAAACCCACCAAAGCATGCCCAGCCCTGAGAGGGGCTTCAAGGAATGCTAATGACCCGCCTGCTTCTGCAGCAAAAAGCAGAGCTAATTACATCATGAACACATAGGAGGGGATGCATGGGCTTTGACGATTGTTTTTAAGGAAAACAAATAGGTTCTACTTCTCTCGGAGGCTGATCAGTCGCTTACCTCCAATCAAAGCGAATAGTTTGAAGCATTGTGATGATGCTGGTGGTGGCTAAAACTGCAATGAGCCCATCTGGTCATCTATCCCATCTTTGCACACCTGTCTGCATAGCACATTTCTTACCCTTATGGTTATGCAGTAAAGCCAGGTCTCTTCCTGTCAGCACTGATGAAGGTAGAGGTGTTCTGCACTTTATGATAATAAGATGACCGTTCTCTTCAAAAACATTATCATTCAGACTGTCCTCTTTTCACCAGCACTCCCCTTCACCCACCCAGAAGAGGCTGTAATAAATTAAACTGTTATTATTCATTCTTTAGGCAATTTAATATTTGATACAAACCCATTTGTGCCAGCCACTGGATAGATGCTGGGATGACAAAGGTGACTAAGAAGGTCCCTACCCTTAGGAACCCAGAGTCAAGCTAATAAATAATAACAATGCCATGTGATTAGGGCAATGCTAGAGGGAAGTCGGAACTGAGGCCCTGAGGAAGGCAGGGCTGACAGCTTCTTACCTCCCCAAACTGCTCCTTCTCTCCTCCCACACAGGTACCCAGCTTGCCAGCCATGCCCAACACCTACTTCCTAAACCCCTTTCTCCAAGGCTTTGCCCTACTGTTCCCTCTGTTCGTGATGGCTATTGCCACCCCCACCTGACTGTGAACCCCTGCTCATCTCCCAAGATTCTGCTCAAAATAAGTTCCAAATTCAGGTGGGTGGTTCATCTGGGAGGATGCAATCAGGGCGGAAAACCCTGGGGATTATTTTTAATGTATTATTTCCTAAGCAGGAGGTTTGTTCTATTATTCTATATGCCTTCCTATGTCTTAAATATTTCCTCACAATATATTTTCAAAAGAGATTCAGTTGAGGCTATACTTCCACCTTGATTCCCACCTCCTGCTATGTTTCCTTGTCAAGAATCAAGCTCAAAAATCCCTTACCATCAGTCAAAAGCAACTTCATGTTTCTAAAGATGCATGGAAATGATTGCCACCGATCTAGGATCCTGGTCCCATCTAGGTCAAGGACTACACCAGGGACTTCAACAATAACAGCAATGCTGGGGTTTCTTAAATTGGGCGGTGGGTGCATGGGTGTTTGCTTTACGTCTAAAATATTATGAAATAATTAAACACTTGAAAAAGCAACTCTATCCAGAGTAAGAGGGACAGGAAGGAAAAAGGAAGGGAGAAGGAGCTTTAGATGAGTTGAGTAAGGGAGAACAAAGGAGGCTCTCCGCTAGGCATAAAGGGATACAGGCATTAATCAGGTTTGACTTGCAGGCACAGAGCAAGAGCAGAGCCATGGAAATGGCACAAGGCTGTGTCGTGCTGTAGTGAGCCATGAGGTGGCTAAGAGCTTGAACCCTGCAACTAGACCATCTGGGTTCAAGTCCCGATGCAATCGCTTGATAACCCATGGCTTGGGCAACTTCAATTTCTTCACCATGAAAAATGCTGGTGGGGACCAAATGAGATGAAGTGAGTGAAGCTTGCACTGGTTGGTATCCAGCAAGTGCAGAACATTGTTTTTACTTGTGTTAGGACTTATTAGTCATGTGACCCTGAACAAATCACTTCGGTTCTTCAAAACTCAGTCTCCCCATCTGTGAAATGGGATCTCATCCTATGGCCAAAATAAACTCATGTGAATGAAAGTGCTTTACACCCTCCAGAGTGATTCATAAACAAGAGTTCATATTAAATAAGAAATTATAAGTTAAAAGACCCTGAGAGAGTAAGCTTCATGAGGGTAGAGACTATACCCATCAAGCTCACTGTGATATCCCCACTGCTTAGCAGAGTGCCTGGCACAGATAGAAGCCCAGGGTTATATGGACTAAATTGTGTCCCTCCAAACAAAAAAATGATATGTTTAAGTCCTAACCCCCAGTACCTCAGAACGTAACTTTATTTGGAAATAAGGTCTTTACATAGGTCATCAAGTGAAAATGAGCTTATGAGGGTGGGCTCTAACCTAACAGGACTAGTGCCCTTATTTTAAAAAATGGAAATTTGGACACAGACAGACTGAGAGGGAAGACAGAGAATTGGAGTGGTGCATCTACAAATCAAGGAATGCCAAGGATTGCTAGCAAAACACCAGAAACTAAGAAGAAGCAAGGAAAACCCCTTCCCCTAAGGTTTCAGAGGAAGCATGGGCCCCATCCACACCTTGATTTCAGATTTTTAGCCCCCAGAACTGAGACAATACATTTCTGTCATTCCAAGCCACCCAGGATCATGGTACATACATTGTTGCAGCAGCCCCAGAAGATCAGTACACGCGGTAAATATTTGTTGCATGAACAAATTGTGCTGTGGGTGCTTCCAGTGAAATATGGCATCTCCTCCCCAGCAGAGGAGGATGTGTGTGTCCAGGCAGGCAATGGGGAAGGTGCCTGTCCTGTTCCGTGGTGGGCAGGGAATAGCAGTGGGCAGGAGAAGGCAGGATTTAAACCTGAGCACTCCGAAGCCAGAGTACACACTCACAATTTCTACACTAGAGAAGCCCAGCTGGCGAGAGCTCACCCTGCCTTAGAGCCCAAGTGGCCTCTCTCCTCCCCACCTCCACAAGAAGAAATGGAGAAGAAATGGAGCAGGGGATAATCAAGAAGGCACTAAAAAGAGAAGTGAGGATAGTATTTGATCCTGAAACTGCCAGCAGACTCTTACAAAGCACCTGCTCTCAGTTGGATGTCCGTAGCAGGGGGCCGGGGTACCCTGTGGTGAGGCCCCTGCCCAGATGGAACCGGAGTCATCACCCGCACATACTGCCAGGGGCTGGGCTGCTGTGGCAATGAAGCAACAGCTCTTTGCTAGGCAGAGCTCAACATCTGATGGCTGAAGGGGCCCTTGGCCTGTTTTCTGATCTCACCTCCTGCCCTTCCTCGTGAGCGCTGGCACACCATAGAAGCCAGGAGTCTCTGGAGACAATTTGGACTGCAACTTTTCGGTGGAAATTCCTCCTTTCTCTTTAACTTGAGCTCTGCCCATATCTTGTCTGCCCTCCAAGGCTCCCTGAACACCTGACTCCCTGTCTGGCATCTGCACACCGGAGGTCATGCCATCTTGGAGCCCTCCTAGGGATGTGGGCAGGTGACAGGCACCCACATGTGGGACTCCTGACCACGGCGAGCTGGGCAAAGAGAACATTTGGAGCTCTTAGGACTCTGGGTCTCAGCCCTGGCTGCACATGAGCAGCCCCCACAGAGCCTGAAAAACTCTAGTGCCCAGGCTGCACACCAGAAGAATTAAATCAGGATCTCTGGGGGTGGCACCCAGACAGCAGGACTTTAAAAAATTTTCCCAGGTGATTCCAATGGGCATTAAGCTGAGAAGCAATCACTTACTGGACAAAGGAATACTACAAGGAGAGGAAACCTGGACTCCAGCTGGATGGGAAGCAGCAGGGAAGCAATCATATCCAAAGGCTTCTAGAAAAGAAGAATGGCAGTTGCTAGGGGCTGGAGGGAGGCGGGTATGCAGAATTATTATTTAATGTGTACACACTCCCAGTTTGGGAAGATGAAAAAAAGAAAGTTCTGGAGATGGATGTCGGCGATGGCTGCACAACAACGTGAATGTTAATACCCCTGAACTGTATGCCTCAAAGTGGTTAAAGAATACAGGAGATAGTTGCAGATTTAGAAAGCAATTTAATCCAGACTAAAGATGGGATATTTATTTAGGCAACATCTAGAAATCTCTGTATGCTTCCTTCTGAGATACCTGAATCTATGTCTATATCTGCATATCTATCTTATCTATATCTTTATATAAATATATGAAGATATGCTTTAGGGAGGGAATCTGAAGAAGGTGCTTTTAAAAGTAACCTAGAAAAATAAAAAATCCAGTAATACCCAGGCATCTTCTGTAAAAGGAAGGTTAAAAAGAAAAGGAAGAATAGAGATATCAGATATTAAAGCATATTATGCAGCTATAATAATTTTTTAATGTTATTGGTTTATCAATAAATAAGAGAGAATTGAACCCCATTTGTGGGAATAGAAAACCCACAAATGCATACATGAAGCTAGTTTATGATAAACATGGAATTTGAAATCATGGTGACAAAAGAATTTTTTAAATAGTGTGAGGACCACCTGTGTAGCCATTTGGAGGGGGGGGGAGGCCGTTAGCATCTGGAGCCAAGGGGAGGAAGGGGAGGCTGGTGAACAGCACATGGAGGCCAGGGAAGGCAGAGCTGTTCTGGGGGATCCCAGCAGTGGGGTGGGTCCACGGGCGCCTGTGGCTACAAACACAGCTGATGGGAATTACAGGCAAGGGCAACTGGCCCAGGGACCCACAGAAAAAAGATCCTCTTTTTCAAAGATTCAAGAGGGAACTAGCTGAGGCTGAGAGTGAGAAGCAAAGGAAGGGAGGTCTAGCCAGAAAGGATGGTGGGGCCTAAGGACCCAGTGGTAAGAGCAGGAGCCGGTCAGCCTCACAGCCACAGGGCCAAGCTCCAGGCATGGCTGCCTGTGGCTTCCTACAATGCCCAGGTCCTCACCTTGTGGTAACGGAGGCTGACTGGCTTGTCTAGGTATGCACAGCCCTGAGGAGAATCCCAGGGAGGGAGCTGCGAGGACTAAGAGCCGGATGAGACTACGGGCCCAAGGAGACCCCTTTCCCTTCCTTCCCTCTGAAATAATGGGCTGTGGCAGAGGTGGGTGCTGGGTGCCCACATTGCTCATCATGTCTTCCTCACAACTTAGTTTCCTCAGGAACTTCCTCTCAGAGCCACTGGGATAAGGACAGAGCTGGGCAAAGGGCCTGTCCTGGTTGTCCTGAGGCAGGAGAAAAGCAGGTCCCTTAAGGCTGATCTGGCTGTCCCAGTTTAGATAGAGCCCAGGGAGGATCTCTGGGGCAGGTGGTCTCTGGAATGTCCATGCCAACAGGCAGCTCGAACACAGTGGCCAACTGGAAGCCAGCTGCTCAGCCAGTCCCCTTGCCAGGCAAGGCCTGTGCAGTCTCCTGCCTTCCCTGGGTCCACGAAGGCCTTTCTGTTTGGGGGCAAGAACGGACATTCAGCCACGGAGAAATGAGGGAACTGAACCCCAGGTGATGGCAATGGTAACATCTTCTTTGGGGGAGAGGAGAGCCATGCTTCCCACTCCCAGTGCCCTAAGGTCTCAGGGTACAGGTAGCCTCTTTCAGCCCCAACAAAAGCTATCATTCTAGGAAGGCCAGTAGAGAAGGCAAAAGAAAACTCCTTCCTAAAGATAAGGGAAGGGGTGGGAGGGGGTGAGAGAAACTCTCAAGAACCACTTTGGAATGGAGCTATTCACTTCCCGATTATGCAGTGCCCCAAAAGTAGTAAAATTTTACTACTTTATGCTTCCATATGAGAGCACCTCCCACACAGCTGATACTTGGTAAGCCCTTAACCTACTGTATCCCTTTGAAGAGAGGAGAGTACAGTGGTCAAGAGCCAGAACACAACAGGATAAGAACAGGCTGCTACTCCAGTGGAGCAGGAGTTGTGTGGCCATGGGCAAGTTTCTCAACTTCTCTGAGCCAAAGTTTCCTCATCTCCTTTATCTGACCACAAACCCCATAGTATTGATCCCACTGTCCCCTGAGGCCACCTTCACTACCTGAACCTGGCAGGGAAGAGCCGAGGGGATCAAGGAACTATTCTTTTTTCAGGCCAGGCAGTGCAATCCCAGACAGAAGCCTCCTGGCAGGGATGGGCCCAGGACCCTGGACTGGCCTGAAGCTCCCCACCCCTTTGAACAAAGGAGGAAAGGAAGTCCCTGAGTTAGAAGCAGAACTTGGTTGGATCACAGGTCTCAGGACTCCTGGTCCAGTGCTCCCTCCACAACAGGCCTTCAGGGAATCTGTGCTTTTCAGATACAGGCCCCAGGAGACCAGGCTTTCCCTCTTGGCTCTACCTCCAGAATATTCAGAATAGGTACATCCATAGAGGCAGGAGGCATTAGATTTGTGGTTGCCAGATCTGGAGAAGGGCAAGAATGGGGAGTAACTGTGTAATGCATATGGGGTTTCCTTTTGGGGTCATAATGGTGTGGGGAAAGTTGTAACATTTCCAGAATATCTCGCCTGGCTTTAGTGCATTTGCATACCCTCAGGGGTGGAGAGAAGTTCATCTCCATATCAGTGGGTAATTACCTGGGCAAAGGAGGGCTTATCTGTACCTGAGAGGTGAGGGGAGGTCCCGTTTTGCTTCTGCTGGAGCAGGAAAGAGAGTTGTTCCAGGACTGCAGCTTGTGAGCAATAAACAGATTTCAAACTTTATTTCTCCTTTTGACTGATTTTGGCTTTTAGAGGTATTTTGCCCTGGGATTTCCTCTCCCCGTACTTACAGTTGGGATTGGATAGAGGTGGCAGTTGCATACATTGTGAATGTCCTACATGCCCCTAAACACTTGGAAATGGTTAATTTCATGTTATGTGAATTTCACCTCAATTAAAATTAAGGGTAGCTGTCACTAAGAGGTTAGGGGAAGGAAAAGAGTGGGCAAGTGCCAAGCAGGGTAGGGAAGGTGAAGGAGGGCTGAGGTCTGAGGGAGGAGGAGGACGGTGCAGAAGACGGGAAGTTTGAGGTTCGGGAAAGGTTTGAGGGAGGGAGGTCTGCAGGCTGTAGCTGGTTGAGGAGATAGAACTTGACCCTTGTGGACTTGGGGAGCCACTGCGCTTTAGAGGAACAAAGGAGAAGTAGGAGAGGGAGTGGGGCAGGTGCCTTCAGCCTCTCAGCTGTTTGCTTCCTCTGAGACTCTAAACTGGAAGCTCCAGCAGTGGCGCAGGGACCTCATTTTTTAGCTGTTTTTAATTTTCAGAGTAGAGCATCATTGGTGGTAGATGGTTCTTTTAAAAACATTGGCACCAATGGAATGAAATAAAACATGGTGAGTGGCAGTAAGGTTACCCACCATCCAACACCCACACCAGGGATGTGAGCCTGGCTCTGGGCTGAGTGTGTGCCACCTCCAGGCAACAGCGGGAGGCTGCCGGAGACTTCCAGGGCAGATAGGGCCTGCCCACCACCCCTATGAGGCCCCAGCACCCTCAGAGGACCCCACCCACTAGGGGCTGGGATGGAGGAGGGACTGGGTGGGCACCAGGGGCTCCTTTGTCAGACCCAGGAAGGAGAGTGGGGGCAGCTACAGGAAGTTGGGGGGTGAGGAGTTCCCTCTGGAATCTATTCCCACACTTCCCTCCCCTCTGCTTGTACAGCTCCTGCACATGCTCAGTGTGCCCATGAATTGGTTAGCTGGGGGAGGGCATTAACTGGCACCCCCACTTAAAGGGCCAGTGCCATCCTTGTCTGTGCCCAACAGAGGCAATGGGGCCTGGCCATCCCATTCCCTCCTACCACCTCAGACCCCTTTCACACTCGTGGCAGACACCTCCTGCCCCCTCTGCTCCTCTGTCCACCTCTCCACCTCTCATTCCCTGACCCCACTGCAGGCAGGGTCTGTCTACTAGATATAGGAGCTTCCACTGGGGGTGAAGGAGTTGTTGATGAAGAAGGGAGGCTCCCAGGCCAGGGTAGCAGTGCTGGTAGGAAGCTTTAGCAGTCACTGCTGTGAAATATCTGCTTCTTGGGGGCTCCCTCCCCAGCCCAGGTAACCAAAAAGGTCCTGGAAAGCAGAAGGGCATGAGGGGAATAAGGCCCTGGGCATCTGGTCTGGAAAGGCCTGGGCAGGAGAGAGGGGTGTGTCTAAGCCCGACTGTCCCTCCAGCTGAGGGTGGGGTTTCTGTAGTGGGGGGACTGTAAATTGGAACTTCTGTCCCTGTGGTAAGGCAGAGAGAAGCCCAGGCCTCAGGACCAGGCAGCCAGAGCGAAAAGGAGAGAAGCAAAATGAACCGGCACCTGGCCACCACCGGGAGCTGAGCCGGCTCTCTCCAGTACTGGGCCCTGAAGTACCCCTATTCCACCCTGGTGTTGGGGGCACTGAAGTCAGGGAACCAGATGAGAGGAGGGAGGGACACCTGACTCCCCTTCACTGGTCCCTCTCAGCCCCTTGACACGTTCCCACCTCGCACCCTTCTCCTTAACCCACTTGACCAAGAGCCCTTCAGCCACTCTGTGTGTGTGTGTGTGTGTGTGTGTGTGTGTTGGGGGGGGGGGTCGGCCAGCTGGTAGCTTTCCTGTCTCCAGGCTCCTCAGCTTCTGGGCCCTGAACTCCTCCTCACCTGTCTCCTCCCCTGTGTGCAGCCTGCCAGTCAGGGACTTAGATCCAAGCTGCTTCCTGGACACACCCCCAACACCCTCTCCCATGATGCCACACCCACACCCCTCCCCCTACACTCCAGCTTCTCTCTAGGACACACACACACACACATACGTGTCACTGTGTCTGGGTAAACAACCTTTCCCGGCCTTCCCCTCTGGCCTTCCTCTCTCCCTCCAGGCTGAGGAATGCAGCAGCTGCTGAGCCTGGCCCAAGGGCCCTTGGGTCCCTGGCTTGTACCCCACAGAAGGCAGGCCTCAGGCTAGCTTTCCTGGAATCCGGAAAGCCACTTCCTCTCTGAGCCTTGGGTTTCCCATCTGCAAAATGGGGTCTGCAGTCCTCTAGCCCTTCCTGACAGAGCTGTCCAGGATCAAAGGGCAGGGGGCTAGAGCCCTCAACCAGGGTTCCTGGATCTCTCTACTGAAACCCATCCCTTCCTAGAATCTGTTCTTGCCTTGATTCATTGTAGAAGGCGCTGGGGAGGTCTGGGTGTGGCGGGGTGAAAATGCAAGTTGTCCTGGCAATACACAGTGTTCATCAACATTTCCATCCCAGCAGCTTCCAGGCCTGAGCCCTTCTCTTGCCCAAGGTGCTCCGTCAAGATGAGCCTTCCTGTAGGGGAAGCTAGGCTGGGCCGGCCAGGCCTTCACCCCTCCCCTAGCACAAGGCAGAGCCAACCTGGGCTCACTGGCGAGTTCACTAACTTCCCCTCCACCACCACAGCCTGACACTCTGCAGCCAGCAAGAACAGAACAGTGATGCAGAAGGGTGTGACTATGGCGGGGGGTGTAAGCGCATTTCAGAGCCGAGACTGCCAGCATGTTGGTGGTATCTGCATCAGCCTGGCCGACTCAGCTCTCTATTATGCAGACAGGTGAGGGGCTCACCTCGGAGGAAGTCAATCACACAGGTGATTAGGCTAAGAGAAGCAGGATGTACCAGATGATGCACGGTGGGCACCAGAAAGCCAGGCCACCAGCTCTGCTAAGTATAGATTCACTGCCCACCCCTCCTCTATTTTCGGATTTTCTTCGATCAGGAGAAAACTTCCCCTGAGTGCTTACTGTAAGTTAAGGGGGAAAAGGGCCAACTAACCTGCCCATGAAGCACCCAGACCTCATTTAGCCAGGTTTTCTGAACTGTGGGGAGGATAGGGAGAATACAGGGAGCCTGGGAACAAACCCTGAAGGAGCCTCGGACTTGGGCCTTCTCCAAAAGTCCCAACCCTCTGTCCTCCAGGGGAAGGTCCCAGCTCCTCACAGCCATCAGAAATCTTAAGTCAAGTTCTGGCTCAACACTGTGGCTCCTGAGCCCCCTCTCACCTCTGCATCCCTATCTATAGAACTTTCAGAGCAGTCAGATTGTTCCCAGACACATGAAGTAGAATTCAAGCATCCTGAAGACCTTGCTGGGTCCTGGATCCAGAGGTTTGCTGTCCTCCCACACTTGGGGCAAGGGGGAACTAGAACCCCAGTCTCAGAGCTCTCTGGAATGAATGTGCATTGATTCTCAGAGCAGGCCTAGTGACATTAATCCTAGCCACTCGCATTTGATCTCATCAAAACCATTTAATTTCTTTGGGAAAAATAAGATCGTGTCAAAGAACAAATTGCAGAAATGACAAAGTGGAAGTCTGAACCTATTTTAGCTGTTCTCAGGGGCTCAGGAGTCCTGAGGTTGGTTTTCATCTGCCACCTGCCTCCTTGAGACTTCGCTGGTCTGAACATGTATGAAATGGAACCTTCTCCCTTGGTCAACCTGGATGGGGGGCACCCCTAGGTGCCCAGCACCCCACCCTGGCAGCTGCCCTCGCGGTTCCACATCTCCTTCTCCTGCCGAAGCCGCTGGTTCTCAGTCCGGAGCCTCTCTACCTCAGCAGCCAGTTTCTCTACCTGGCAACAGGGCTGCTGGCTCCTGCACCCCTGCAGCTGCTGCAGCCTCCTTGTCTCCTCCTCAGCCTGTGACAGCCGCTGCTCCAGAGCCAGGTAGTCTTGCACCAGCTCCTGCTTGCTGCGGCCCTGCAGGCTCTCTGTGTGGTAGCGCTCATAGGCCTCAGAGAAATCCCTCTGTTGGAACTCACCATGAGCTCGGCCTTGCCCGTCGCTGTCATCAGCCTCACTCTCCCCACTGGAGCCTGGGTGGGAGGCGCCATGGGGCACATCCAGGTTGGGCTCCTCGGGATCCCGGTCATTCATCAGGAACTGGGTGGTGTTGTAGGGTGCCACGGGCTGGCCTTTAGCAAACATCTCCTCACGGACCTGTGAGGCCCTCTGGCTCTGCCTCTCATCCCGTTGTTGCTTCTCAGCCCAGCTCAGCTCCAGGTAGGGTCACCAGTCCCGCTTGCGCCTAGAAGGCCGCCGCCGGTGCTTCTTATGACCCAGCACAGCTTCCACTGAGCAGCTCCCTGGGCTCTGGATCCTGGGACCCCTACTGTTCCAGTCCAGGCCACTGCCAGCCCAGGTTGGATCATCCTCCTCTGAGTGGCTTTCCATCCTGGGTGTCAGGGGCAGGGAACAGCGAGGGTTGTGAGCCTCTGGGGGTGTTGCCATGCTCCCAGGAGCACCTGAGGTCTAAAGAGAGAGGACAGTGGAGGATGGATCACAGCCAGCTGGTGGAAGAATTCTTCCCTGTCCACACAGCTAACTTGGTCCCTCTCTAGCCTCTCATCCTTTTGCAACCATTTGTTTGTTTATGGGCTTACCTGTCTACTGTTTGTCCCCCAACCCTCCCCCAGCAAACTCATGGTGAGAGCAGGAATTTTGCCTGTGTATTCACTCTGTAATTTCAATGTCTACAACAATACTGGTACAGGGTTCAATAGTCTTTGAATGAATGAAGGAAGAGGAGGAGAAAACAGGTGGAAAGTGGTTCCTGATGCATTTGCTTGATGAGAAACCCAAACAGAACTTTGTTCTTCCCTCTTCCTAGAAAGCTTATCTTTCAGACAGAGCTGGCTTCACGGGTAAGCCACTTATGCAGCTGCTCAGGCCCCAAACTTTGCTTAATGCTCTGCTGTTGTCTCGAACTTAGTAATTTTTGAGCAAAGAGCCCTTTGCACTGAGCTCCACAAATAATGTAGCTGATCCTTCCAACTATTTGCATAGCTGACTGTTTTTCATCCTTTAAGGCTTAGCTCCAATGTCACTCATTCAGAAAGGCATTCCCTGGCCATCCTATCTAGAGGAGCCCCCAGATTCCCTTCCCAGAGACTCCCTATCATGTGACACAGTTAATGTCCCATGTAGTACTTAGCACATTACCACTTACCATCTGGTTCTTCCTGTAAGAATGTATCTTGTCTGTTCAGTTCACACTGGGTCTCCATGCACAGCCCAAGGTAAGTGCTCAATAAATATATGTTAAATGACATAAAATTGGAAAACTAAACTCCTTTTTGTCATTCTAGGGTGAAGAAGATGGAATGTATTTAGTCCAGGCAGAAATTGGTATCACTCTTCAACATGAGGGGCAGAAAGGAGGTCCTAATTAGGAAGAGGAAGGGTCAACCTTCAGGCTGCAGACAAGAGAATTCTTGAACTTATTTTAGAGGCGGAAAGGACTCTGTCAAGAGAGTGTGTGTTCAGGGCATCTGTTTATCTCTGCCCATGGTTAAGGGTGGGAATACTGCATGTGGGGGATGGGGAATGAACTGCTCTAAGTTTGTGGTTTAGGAAATTCTAATAATAACCACTACCATTCACATGTTGTTTTATTATAAAGAACAGGTTCAGAGACATCTGAGCACAGGTCCATGCAAGCATAGGGCATGTATTGGGGAATACATGCAGCCTGAAAGAGCTAGAGGTGTGTTATGTGTGTTTTGGAGATTGTGAAGTTCTCTTCATAATTTGGGATGGGGTGTGTTGGAAGTGCAAGTGTTGTTTGTTGCGTGGTATTATTACTTCACCTGTAAGGAAATCATCAATCAAGAGAACTGGGAACTCTGAGGCAGGGTGGCCCAATCATCCACCTACTCTCAGCCTTCAGTAAATGCCCCCAGTGCTCTTTTCTCTTGACCTATCCAGACCTGCCCCACAGCCCCAAGCGCCACCTTCTCCTGAAAACTTGTTCCTCTACCACAGTTACCACTATTGCAGGCAAGCTGTGTGCTCTGGGTGAGTAATTTGCCTTCTCTAAACTTTCTAGCCTGACATGTCATAAATAAATCCGGTGGCTAGGTAGAGTGGGTCAGAGGAGCTAAGTTCCTTCTTCCCATGCAGGAAGCTGGAGACTGGGTGAGAAGAATGGACAAGGTGAGAACATGGGCTGGGAAGGTTTGGGCTCCTGTTGCCATATCAGAGGGCCTGATACAATCTGTCTCTCCCCTCTCTCCTGGGTGATACTGTACTCTCCACCTCCATCCTAAATTATGAACCAATTGCTCAAACTCTTTTCCTTGCATTAGACTTGGTTCTCAGCCAGGACAAAATGCAAGGCAGGGTTTTTTAAGTTTAAACCCTAGGTCTTCTGCTTGCTGGCTGCATGAGACTAGAAAAAGTATTTCAGCTCTTAGAACCTTAGTTTCTTTGAAGTGGAAATAATAATTCCCACCTTGAAGGACTACTAGGCTGTCATGAGATGGCACAGATGTAGCATCTGGCATATTGAGTAAGGACTCATTCAAAAATACTGATTTTCTAAATATGCCGACACATCTGAAACAAGATGCTAGGATCCTAGTTGGCAGGATCCATGTTCAGGGCACTCAGGTGTCTGGCAGTGTGGGGCTTACCTTAGCCTCCTCCAGGGCTGCTGGTGACTCTATATCACAGTGGTCTGGTTCAGAGTAGCCACGTTCCTCTGTTCCAAATCTTTCAGCAGTTGCCTTTAACTAATGACACCTGCTTTAAATAACAAGCAACCTAAGTCCTGAAGAAGAATTTTTTTTTAACCAAGGCAGCAGCGGCCATTTTGTAGCACCAAACCTGCACACCCTCATTTTCAAATGAAGGCCTTGAAGGCTGCCCCCACACCCTGGCTTTCACACCTCCAGCCAGCAAGGGGCCAAATGGGGATTAAGAGGTCATCTTCCCTGTTCTGCTCCTCAAGCCGCAGGCCAGGGTTTACATCCTATGACTTCTCTGGGAAGTCACTGAGGCCCAGGCTCACTGTTAGGAAGTGAGGCATAAGCTTTGTTTCCCCCAACAACCAGAAGAGAGACTACCAGGGAGGAGAATATGACCTCTCCAGCAATGACCGGGAGAGGCTGCGTGTCGAGTGGGTCAGGGGCTCCAAGAAAATATGTAGCAGGCTTGGGATGGGTCGTTTCCCCTCTGCCTCCAGCGCCCCCAGTCTTCACTGTCCCCCCCACCCCCACCCCCACCCCAGCCACCTCCTTCCCAGGCCGGGCTCCAGAAGTCAATGCTTCAAGAAACACGGCTGGGGCCCGCGCTGGGCCTGAGGCCTTTTCATCTACAGACCTGGCCTGCCTCCCTCCCTCCTTCCTCTCAGGAGGGGGAAACAGAGGAAGGAAAAGGAATTTTTGCACTACACGCAGCTGGGAGGGAAACCCAACTGGGATAAGAATGGACTTCTTAGTGAGGGGAAATGGTCCGGGAAGATTCTGCAAGGGCATAACTGACCTATTTGACACACGACTATGTCTGTGTGTCTTTCTGTGCGACCGCCTGTCTGTGCAATCCCAACGCTTCTATTCTACCTCTCGTTGCGTTGTAGCAGCTCTAGTCAAGCCGCTCAAGCACTGAAGTTGCGGGGAGGGGACAGGCTGGCAGCGCGGGGCCTGCTGGGGATTGCTTAGAAAGGCGGATCAAGATACTGTCACGTCAACAGCCACAGCGAGGACTCCAAAACCCGTCTACCCTTGCGCGAGCGGCGTCCGCGTTCACCGAGGCCTGTTTTGATTGGCCAGTTTGTCTGCCAATATTTCCACTTTCATCAACGATTAGCTGTGAAGAAGCACAACTGGATCCGCCTCTTCCGAGCTCAATTAAAGAGTTCATTGCTGGAGTTAATCTTCACTGAGCAGAAAACAGATCCGGGTGCCAGGGGCGGGGCTGTGGGCGCGGAGGGATCCTCGCCCCTAGAGAAGGGCGACGAGAAGGATCGGTGGCCGCCGCCGCCATTTTGGGCTGGGAGGAAGCAGCGGAGGGACTCGCTGCGCAGTGAGAGCACCCCATGGGGGGTGGTCCGGGCGCGGGGACAGGCCGGGCCGAGTGGGCTGCCTGAAGTGGCAGCCCCAGGAGGCGGCGGGGAGTGGGACCGGGGACCTGGGAGGGGTGAAGTTTGGAGTCTTCCCGACCGGGCCCGGTCCTCAAACCGTCCCGGCGTCCCCGCAGCCTCACCTCTCAGAGCTCGGGGTTCTTAGGCAATTACCGCTTGTTTCCCAATACCCCAGTTGGTATGAGATCGGGTGAAACGGCTCTCCTCTGCTCTTTCCACGGGGACGCAGACTCTGAGGCCGAGATTTGCTAAGTTCTTTCCCTACCCCATGCGGCCTGGGTATGGCGGTGAGGCCCAGCTTGGCGGGACACCCACTTCGACGGGCGAGGTGGGGGCGACGCCAGGTTCTAAAGACTGGCGCCGGGGAGGGTGGAGGCCGCAGCTCCAGCCGCGCGTACCTCTAGCGTGGCAGTCAGCTGAAGGCTCCGAGGGCGGGGACCCCGGTGCACCCGCCATCCCCCCACCGTACGCCAAAGCCATTACGCGGCCAGGGCCACGGAAAGGAGCAGCCTTCTTCCTATTGTAGCAGCCACTGATTCTCCCTAGATAGGAGCACGTGGAAACCTTCACGATCCCAGTGCTTGGAAATCTTTGGGCGCCCCTTCCCTCAAGATTTCTCCTGACCAGCCCCGATTCTAGGAACGACCCGGGTTCGTACGTTGCCGGTCATTTTGGGAAACTCCGAAAGTGTGCTCTTGCACTTGTACACTAAAAGGGGATGGGTTTTGCCCTTTGTGGGGTTGGGGCACATAAGAGTCGCGACGGCTCTAGGAATAAAAGTGGAGTGGCCCATTTCGGATGCTCCAGGAACATCTGTTTGCACTTTGAAATCTGAGCTATAACCTTTACCAAAACTTGTGGAGAAATGGTTGCTGTCCTAGAGAATTCCAATGTTAATCTTCATAAAACTACAAATTCTTTCCAGTTTGAAAACTTTTCTCCCACAAAGTAAACAAAATGGTGGTGGTGGGGTGTTGTTTTGCCACTGGGTATTGTTACTAAGGAACCTCAATTTTGAAATTGTAATTAATTGAAAATCATTTCTGTAGGTCCTAGATGCTACCAAAATAGAAATTGGTTTTGAGCTACATCACATATGTGGCCTTTGGTGGGTTAGGAAGACATACTTTGAAAAAAAATAAACATTATAGCTGTAGCAGCTTCTTAAGGATTGAAGTTTGATGTGAAATTATTTTCCTGAATTGCAAATTAAACTATCTTGTTTCCTACTGTTCAGAATCTAAATTCAGAGAGATTTATAGCTCAGGGATATCTGAATAATTTTGTTGCCAAAAATGTGAGGTAAAGTTATGCCTAGGTAGACTCGAGTACGTAGGCAATGAACTTTATCTTTGAGCGTAACTTGCAGTAAATCTCTGCCAGTTATACGTAGATCATTCTGAAGCCTTTGGCCTTAGTAGCAAGAACCTTAAAAGGTTCTTCAGAACCAAAATCCTGTTTCTCCTATTAATATATGTGTATTTTTTAAGTTGTAAGAGTAACAATTCCATAGCTTGAACTGTTTTCTCCTACCCCCAGATATTCTTGGAGAAAGTCTTAGAACTAGGTTGCAAAAATATGATCACCATTGACTTGGGTTCTTAATCCAGAATTTGAACCACTTACACCTAAAAAGAAGCTTCAGTACACTTGATTTGTACTGTAGGTTGGCTTTTGGCTTATGTTGTTTTCATTTTACACTGATCTACAGGTCAGTATGTGAGTTGGGAAACTACTTGGTAGCAGTTAAGTTAAATAGTCACAGGAGCTGAAAGTACTGTGTGGTTCTTCTGTCAAGAATTTAATGGAGGAGGATCCTAGCCTCTTGTGGCTCCATTGTGAAGTAATCTAGTTAAGCCTCTGGATGCTATCAAGTGAAGAACACTGTACCAAGTGCAGAAACTGGTTATTTGTACAGTTGAAAACTTATCTTTAAGGGTTGACCATAACCATTCCTTGATAAGAAAAGTTTGGAATATAACTAATTTATGAGGGGTCCCTTGGTTATGAACTGAGCAAAACTCAGGACTGGAAGTTAGGAACTCCAAGTTCTATTTGTGTGTGCGCTGCCAGTGACTTGATAGGCTTGGCTAGAGACCAAATCTGAGGAGGAGACCAGGCTGGCATTTTGTTGCTGAGTCTGTTGTTCATCTAATGTTCATCCAGACCTTCAACTTCCTCAGCTCTCTCCTTTCACATGAGTTGCTTTGTAGTTTTTGACAAATTGGTCAAACCCTATATACCTCAGTTTCCTAATTTGAAGTGGTATCAGTGCTGCCTCCCTCATAAATACCTTGAAGAGTAATCACTTTGAAAGCTATGTAAACATTTACTTGCTGTAACTTCATTATTTGGGAACTTTAGAACTTAATGCTTCAAAGGTTATTTGGGACAGTTGGGAGGCCTGCCTTACCTAACTGTGGCCTTTGTTGCCCATGGCAGCATAAAGGTTGGCTATCCAGATAAGCTGAAGGAGGGTCAGTTTTCCTGGGTACCAAGAAGTTGTTACAGTGATGTCCTCGACATGTGCATTTGCCTGGTGGCTTACTCCTGGCGACCTGTGGCCATGTGTGAGCAGGATTCCTTGATAGAGGGAGGAATGGATTCTTTACAGCTGTCCTCTTTATGATGAAGATGCTTGCTTCTGAACCATTTGGTTTCTACAGTTAATCAGTTTTTTACACTCTATGTCTGGCTCTCCCCATCATCTTCTGTCTTTTCTCCTTTTAAGTTGTTAAAATGTTTGCTATTTATTAAGTACACTTAGTGATTATAACTAGAGAGAGAACCGACTTCTCAGACATATTCCCCTCCATCCTGCAGTCTGGGCTTCTGCCTGTGCCTAAAAGTTGTACTGGAGTTCTTCAGGTATGCAGAATTCTGTGTTTAAAGCAGGTTTCAGAACTTCAAATTATTCTGACCCTCTGGAGGCTAGGACAAGTGATGCTATCAGTTTCTCAAATTCTTGTGCTTGGAGCTGCCTAAAGCCCCTACATTTTTCCTTCAGGGATACCCTTTTTGCTCACTGCAGACCCAGGGCTTTTTAACACTTAACACGAAGTCAGTGGAAGTGTCAAATAAAATGTGATTTCAGGTGAGAATTTACAATTCCCTTCTGAATTTCTGCTTTTCTTAAAAAAAGTGTTTAAGCCACATATAATTGCTCTGTGAGCTTTATTGAGGGATCACACTAGCTATTTCAAAAGACTTGCCAATAGTTTACTGTAGCAGCTCAACCATTTGAAAGAATTCTGTTGGTCTGCAAAGGTTTATTAGTAAACTAGGATTCTTGCTGTTGCCCATGTAGTTGCATCATTTGTCATAATTGAACTGCCTCTAACACCCAAGAAAAAGTTTATTCAGGAGGATTTGTGAGAGCTAAATTATTGATCTGCCTAAACCCAGCCTTTGTTTTTTCAATAAGAAATGGATTGAGGTTGTAAGCTTTCCAATATTCAAAGATGACTGGCAAAAAATTGGCCCAAGATTGAATCTTTGCCTCTGTGTATTTTGTTCCACTTGCAGAGTAGGACTATTACCCTTTGGTCAGCAGATCCCACTGTGCAGGGCCTGACTTTAACATTTTCCTTCTTTTAAAAATTACCTTTGTTTCAAGCATCAATTATTTATACTTTGAGAAATAATAGTAATGAGGAATTTTATTCCGGTGATCTTGTCAAATGTGAAAAATATGTTTTTTTTTAAAAACCCATATACTCAAGTGTACTTAGGCACACATACTATCTTAATTAACTCTAG